TGCAGTCCCCAGGTGTGAGCGAGGTGCTGCACTCCCCCAGCTGGAGCCCTGCACATGAGAAACCACAGTGGACAGCTGCCGGGACTCGTGCTGGTACGCGGGCGAGGTGCCGTGTGGGAGTCAGCTGTCCCGTCTGCAGAACCGAGGGCTCTCCGGCGATGAGTGACCTCGGCAACAGGACCCTCCTTCTCCATTCCCGTGCCCTCGGCTCGTGAAAAGTCAAACGCACACACACATCCGGAGTGTGGGTGGAAGGCGCACGTGTGTGTATGTGTCACGGTTTCTCGTCTCTGCACGGGTGACGTACTGGCCCGGGTCATTCTGTGTTGTAGAGCCGGGCCGTGCTGCAGCGTGCTGGGCGTCCCTGGTCCCATCCACAGGCAGCAGTGGCATCCTTCTCTCCAGGGGGACAGATCAAAACTGTGTCCGGGGCCAGCAGGTGGAGCTGTGGTTACATTGCTGGACTCTCACTAGTCGACGGCTTCAGACTGAGCAGCTTAAAACCCACACCGGGTGCATGTGTGTGCCCAAGATCACAAGAGGAGAATGAAGGAGAAGGGATTGTGGCCTGGCTTCCCTGAGGGGGTGGCAAGGCCCCCTCTCTGGTGAGCACACGTGCCCTAAGGCAAAAATCGCTCTTAAAAAAGAAAAGTTGTCTCCAGACCCTGCCATCTGGCCCCTGGAGGGAGCAAGTCATGCCCGTGTGAGGGCCACAGACACACGTGTACACACATACCTGCGTGCACATATCAGACGTACACGAAGGGTCTTCAGAATGGGCCTGGCCCCATAGCACAGTGATTAAGAGTGTGTGCAGGGAGCTGGATCCCACAGGGCTGGCCACAGTTCGAATCCTGGCCCCAGCCCCTTAAAAACACACCAGGCACCTGTGCATGCATGACTAAAATCCTGACGAGATGGGGAAACGGAGGAAAAGGGGGTGCACACCTCCCACGGGGCTGCTCGCTCTCTGACAAGCACACGTGCCTTCTGGCAATGAAAGGCGTTCATGGAAAACGTAAATTACGGAAATCGTTTATGGATTTCAAGGTTTTCTGCATCGAAAGGCACTCTTACCTGCTCTTATGGGTCTGAGCGGGACCTGGTTGAGGCACCCACACGCTACGGCATCAGACTGAAGAGCCATCTAGGGTTTCAGGAGCTCTGCTGCGACCGAAGCAGGAGCATGAGCAGTTCACCGTGACGTTGGGGGGAGGGTGATATTGGTGCCCTGCAAAGAGCGTGTGGGAGAAGAACTTCAAGTGTGAGTTGATTGCGGTGAAAAGTCGTGCAATACAGGACTCGCCTTTTCACTGCACACTTTTCCTGGGCTCCGAGAACCCCTGTGCGTTGTGGTGTGTGCGTGTCTTCCCTAGGCTGGCGGGTTGCTTCCTCGGCCCTGACTGCTGTAAGGACATTTCTGCGGTTCTTACTCACAACGGAAAGCTGAAGACCCTGAAACTCGGGAACAACAGAGTCGGCGACGCTGGCGCCAGGCAGCTGTGCGCGGCCCTGAGGCACCCGGGCTGTGCACTACAGACGCTCGGGTAGGTCCGGCCTGGCTCTCAACAGAAGCCTCCTATTTTAGGAGCAGGGAAGCGGGAGGATTGGCAGGTTGAAGGGCAGTAGGTTTAAAATAAGCCTGTCTGAAACAGTCTGGGTCGAGCTGTCCCTGCAAACGTTCGCTGGGCCTTGGCGCCGCTGGCTCAGGATGCTCTGCGGGCGGGAGCGGAGCGCCGTTCCTGTCCCACGTCTTCTTTAAGGCTGGACATGTGTGAGCTCACGGCGGCCTGCTGTGAAGACCTGGCCTCTGCTCTCACCGTCTGCAAAGCCCTGAGGAGCCTGAACCTGGACTGGATCGCGCTGGACCTGGCCGGGGCGCTGGCGCTGTGCGAGGCTCTGTGCCACCCGGACTGCGCCCTGCAGGTGCTCGGGTGAGCGACCTCGGGGCTGGGGCGCGGAGGGCCAACCTGGGCCCAGAGCGCTGTGCAGCGGGGCCGCCTGCGTGCCCGGGACGTCCGTCGCTCAGGACATGCTCTGGCACTTCCCTTCCATTGCGGAAGTCAAAAATGTGTCCACACACGGTCAGGTGCCCCTGGGGACCGTTAGACGCCATTGGGAAGGGCTCCCGGGGCTCGGAAGCGCTCGCTGAAAGGCAGCCGCTCACATTCTCAGCCGTGTGCTTGCTCCTGGAGCGCCCGGTGCCCCGTCCCTGCCCTCGTCCCTGTCCAGAGGGGCCGACATGGGCAGCCGAGCAGAGCTCTGAACACCTTAGCTCACTGTCCTCACAGTCACCCAGAGGAGACAGCGGTGCCCCGGGGAGGGGCCCTTCTGCATTTAGAATTCACTAAGAGATGGAGAAAGCCGATGGTGACATCAGAGGGATCTGGTGCTGAGGCGTAGCCGGGAGGGGTGGTTCTCCACAGCCTGGGGAAAACGTCTTCAAGAAGAAAGTGTAGTTGGGGCTCAGCGCCGAGGAAGTGAGCTCGCAGGAGTCGGTAAGTCACTGGCCGCCAGGAGAGCAGTATGCCCGAAGTGGGTTTGCGAGACGGGGCACGGGAGGCGCTGTACCCTGCCAGGGTAGAGAACGCCGGGAGCGCGTGTGGGCGCGGTCCTGCCGCCCGTGCCCGGTCTCTGGAAAAGCTGGCATGTGTAAGAGGGACAGGCGGACTGTCCGTAAGTGCTGCGGTGGAGGATGGGTTCGCGCCTTCAACCTGCTGGTGTCCGTATGCCTGAAAAAAGCTCATAAATGTTGTTTAAGCTCGAAAGAGAAACATAAGAAGACACACATGTACCTGGGCATTGTCATATTTACGTAATTTCAACAAGTTTTGACTTGTCTTAATTTCTTTTCTTTTTTTAAAGAGAGATTTTTGCTGCAAGGTGCATGCACCAGCTGCAGGGAGAGAGAGACAGAGACGGAGAGAGCGAAAGTGAGAAGCACTGCAGTCCCTTCTCCACTTTCCTGCCAGGATCTTGGGCACGAATGCACATGCACCTGGCATGATTTTCAAACCACCGGGTCTGGGACTCAAACCGTGGCTGCCATGTGGGAGTTTAGCAACGTTACCACTATGCCACGTGCTGGCCCTGAGTCTTATTTTCTTGACACTTGTTTTATATGGACTTCTGTGCCTTGTAAGTCAGAGGTCAGAGGTCACTGTAATAGGGAAGACTTGTGCTCTCTCCTCAGGTTCAGTGCGATTCTCCCAGTCGTTTCCAGAGACAACGAAGAGAGGCGGGCATTGGGCTACAGAGAGGCAAATAATCGTGTGTAAAGAGCTTTATTTATCTTTTCCCAGCCTGGATAAATATGCATTTGATGAGGAAATTCAGATGCTTCTGACATCTGTGGAGGAGAAGAATCCCCACCTGACCATTTCACACCAACCTTGGATCGAGGAGGAGTACAGGATCAAGGGCATGCTGGTCTGAGCGGAACCCCTGAGCTAGTCTTCGCACAGAGCTTTTCCCCTGGACACGACGGGCCTCTGCTCCTGGCACAGCCTTGCCGTGACTGCACGTCAGGCAGTGGGGGCTGGCCGCACAGACAGGGACTGCGCAGGCAGTGCGCGTGAGGGCCGCACTCCCCTCATCTCTCCACTCCCCTGTCTTTTGAGTTCCCAATGCCACCTTGGAATACTTAGAAGAGCAAACACATTAAGCAAATGCTAAGTATCCTGGGAAACAGGACCGCGTTTTCTTACTGGGGGTCTTGTGGCATAGGGGCTTGGATTTGCAGAAACTGTTACCCTCCGCTAGCTCTGACTTGAAGTGAAGCGAGAGTGTCTGTAGACGTACTGGTATCATTAGATGTAACACCCACCCACACTTCCTATCTCTGTTTTGTCCACATTTATATTTGATAAGCTTTTTTGGCCTAATAAAGAGCATCACAAAATCTCTCTCTTTTAGTATATGTGACTTCAATATATTTTGAAAACATTTGGTCTGATACTGTGTCATAACCAAACATCCCTTGGTTCTGCATTGCATCTATAAGTTATTCAAGCCTTTTGGCCTGAAATCGAATTTTCACTACCATACTATTGCTACACAAATAAAAACAACATAGGAGCTGGATAAGATAAAATCAGATCCAATTATATGGGACTATAAGAGCATTATTCCCAGAGGCGTGTGTGCTCACCAGAGAGAGCGAGCGAGAGCACCCAGTGGGGTGTGCTCACACTCCAGTCTCCCCCCACCCCCGTCTCCTTCCCATCAGGACTGTGGGCCCGCGTGTACGTGTGCCTGATATGTTTCCAAGCCACTGGGGCCGGAACACAGGCGACGGTCAGCCGTACGGGATCCGGCTCCGAGAACACAGCGTCTGACTGCTGCACTGCGGAGCCCGCCAGGAACGTGACCTCCAGTCCCTCTAACAACGAGGGCTGTAGTGCTGGGATTCTTCAATACTTGGGGAGCCTTGGTCATTGTTCGGATTTGGGGAGTGGCAGGTGGGCCCAGTGGCTGAGATGCAGGGATCTACGAGTCACGCTCAGGTGCTCAGTGTCCGCATCCAGGGACGTTCCCAACTGGGAGAATCCAGGTCACACGGAAGGCCATCGCAGGCACAATCCTGAACATCAAATCCTTTCCACTTTTCCTGATCCTGTGTTCAGAATCCAAGTTTTGAAGAACTTGTCAATGAACAGATTCTTAGCCAATCCTGGCCTCGAGCACATCGCCCAGAAACGGAAGCCAGAGGTGAGCAGGGAGAGCCGGGGACACACGGTGCGTCATTAAATCTCCTCAGACGCTCTACAGCCCTGTTTGAAATACCCGCACTGGGATCCTTCAGGTGGTCCGAAATGAAGCATTAACTGGCTGCGTCTGCATCTGTGCTCATACTCGCTGTGAGGAAGAAGAAGCGCAGCTCAGCCAGTGAGCGGATGCGTCCCAGCCTGCACTTCCTCCCGTTTCCCTTCGTAGTCGATACTTCAGTGCAAAGCAGCCGTCATTGGCCCCACACACGTCGTATGAGAACCCCAGGAAGAGAATGAGGTGTGTACACATGAGTCTGATCCTTCAAGGCTCAGGTCTCGGCTTTAGTGGTGTGGTGCGTGCTGTGGTATTTAGAGAAGGTCATTGTTTAGTCCCATAATGCTTTCTCAAAGCTAGATACCAAAGACACCAAAGCAGTTAGTAAATTAGTAATGAAACAACAATAATGTTGCATCCACCAAGGCTGGTCAGACTCACGTGTCATCCTCACAGATCTCAGCCTACTGGGGAGCGCGGGACACACACGCACAACCGTCCCTCACCACGGTAAGCTCCTGGCGTGGTGGAGACCACTGATGAGGAATACCCCCACGGTTTTCACGCTTGAGGTGGCTTTCAAGACTGGGAGTGAGTTGTGATAGGACTGAGCAGATGAGATCAGAGTGAGGCAACGTGGTGGTGAAAAAGTGAACTGTGCTCAGAGGACTAACGGGCAGGTGGCAGGACAGACATGGCAGCGTTAACGGTGGGGAAGGAGGTGTGGAGGGGCAAGTGAATACCTAGTCCTTACTAGGAACTCGGTCACTCTTGGGTTCACCAGAGAATAACTCAGCTGGACAGTCTCTTCCTTGACAATGGAACCCACTTCCCCTGCTGCCAGCTGGTGTCAGAGAAGGCATGGTCTGATTCCTCACTTGGCAGGAGAGTGGAAGAGAGGGAACCCACTCCAACAACCCCTTTTCATAGAGGCATTAACCTACTCATGAGGGTGAAGCACTCAACTGAATACCTCCCAATAATTTTGCATTAGGGATCAAGTTTGTTTTTGTTTTTGTTTTGTTTTGTTTTTGAGAGGTTTTTGCTATAGGGCACATGTGCTTGCCGGAAAGAGAGAGAAAAAGAGAGACAGAAAGCAAGAAATCACCCCCCAGGGGGATGGCCATGCCACAATCCATTCTCCTCTCGGGATCTTGGGCACGCACACACATGCACCTGGTGTGAATTTAAGCCACCGGGTCCAGGACTTGAACCGCGGTCAACTACATGGGAATCAGCGACATAGCCATTACGCTAACTGCTGGTCCCAGGGATCAAGTTTTTAACTCATGAGTTTTGGAGGACACTTTTAGGCCATAGAAGTTAGATTGATTTAACCATTTTATGTTTTATACATGTTTCAGAACACTTCATTGTTTCCCATGAATGTATATGATTATGATCTGTTAATAAAAGAGGGAAAAATGAACTCTTACTAGAATAAAACAGAAATATTTAACATTTTTATTTACATTAGCATAGAACATGAAACACACTGGAGTACAGTTAAAGATGTTCGAGAACTTTTTAAAAGTTGATTTATCCCGGCTAGTCCTGGGGCGGGCGTGGCGCTGGAAACCTACAAGGAGAAATGAAGACGCTGTCTGTGCTGCCCCTGCTCTGCTCTCGCTCCGACCCGGAGCCGCGCAACACTAACATCTATACTTGGATGATGTGCAGTGAAACAGGTCAACACCCCCCGGGGGTGCCTCTGGCCAGGCTTTTGAGCTGAAAGCCACCATCTCCTATCTCAGAAGCCGTGGCTTCTCCAAAGATGAAAGATCTGTCCCTGGAGGAGATCCAGAAAAAACTGGAGGCTGCAGAGGAAAGAAAGTCTCAGGAGGCCCAGGTGCTGAAACGGCTGCAGAGAAGAGGGAGCACGAGCGAGAAGTCCTTCAGAAGGCTTTGGAGGAGGACAACAGCTTCTGCAAGATGGCGGAGGAAAAGCCGATCCCGAAAGTGGAACAAATTAAGGAAAACCGTGAGGCTGATCTAGCTGCTGTGAATGAAGGCCTGCAGGAAAGGGAGAGGCATGCAGAGGTGCAGGCACAAGGCACTCCAGGTCGACCCGTCTGGCTGAGGCGATGGAGGGCGTGGCACGCCCCGATAGTAAATCCCCCTGCCCATATTATAATGGGTCATGTGATACCAGTATGGGAAATGCATGACATGGTTTTAAAAAACTCATTATAAAAAAAACAATTAAAAAAAGGCGGTCTCTTTGCAGAATGTTTTGCTTGATGTTTAAAAAAATACCTTGGATCTTATTTTGTAAATACATTTTTGTTTAAAAAAATACAAGTATTGCATTATGCAAGTTATTTCATCATCTTACATGTCCTGTAACAGGCTTTTGATGTTGTCTGTCCACGCAAATGAATTTGCTAGGTCTGTTCTGGAAGCTCCCCGTGTGTAACGCCATTCCCTGCCCTTTTCATTCCAACAGAACAGTGAGGTCAGCACAGTCCATGGTGCTAGAAACCACCATCGCTTAATGACCAGGATGGCTTTGTAGTCTCGGAGCGTGACTAAGACCGTGCCTAGATCACAGGTCTCGTGACTCCACGTGAACCTCCACATTTGTTCGCTCATAATCTCCTTACTGCCTAGAAACTATAAAACCAGGCTAAAAAAATCCCACCAATCATAGCATTTACTCTTGCTTCTACTGGATTATGTGCTACAAATGTTCTTCAGCTCTGGAGAGGGATGGATGAGAAGACAGATCTGAGATCAATCTGGGTAGAAGCAAAAAGGGGAACCTTTTAAAGTGCTGAACACAGATCCAAACCAACTGGTTCCAGCGGCTGTGAGATCACTCTTCGTGAAGCGGGCTTCATTCTCTAGTCTCAGTTCTTTGATGGAGTGAAGGAATCACTGTCAGCTGGCTTACTTGTGGATGCCATGATTGATGATGTCCATTTTAAGCTCTTACCTATAGTACAAGTACCTGATGCTACTGGACATTGTTCCACTTGGAAACTGTGAGCTGGCTGTTGCATTAATGCACACGCACACACACACACACACACACACACACACACACATATACACACACGCACACAACGAAAACACTGCGGACTTTCAGTCAAGCTGGTCTTTCTTCCCCATTGAGAGGCAATCCTGCCTATTAAAAAAAACAATTACTCCATCCATGGAGCTGATGCAGTCAAGGGGGCTAGGCAGGGTGTGTGTGCCAACCAAGAGAATCACCAGATACCCATCCGTAAGTACCTAGCACAGTTTTGAAGTCTTTTCTCCCCCAACTCCCAACTCCTGAAGGTTGCTGCCTGCATATTTACTCTTCATTAGTGCTATTTTCCTGTATGTCATTCTGAGCAAGCTGTGATTAATAAAGAATTGGAGCTCTGTGAACTAATAAAAAAAAGTTTATTTATTCCATGAGTGAGAGAGACAGAGACAGAGAGACAGCATTCTCACCTGTGTCTTATTACCACGATCCGGCCCCAGGCAGCCTTGGGTCACAGGCCTGCATGTGCCTGGCATAGTCAGGGAGCTCTCTGGATGTGAACTTGAAATTTTCTCACGCAGGCCAACCTTACAGTGTCATATTTTGCTACTGTGCCACTATCTGGCCCCAAGAAGTATACACTGAAAAGTATAAAACAGCCCTGAGAGAAATGAAAGATGATGTAAATATATGAAGAGAGATACTATGTTCATGGATTGAAGTACTGAATGCTATTATGATGTACAGAAATTAAAGATGATGTAAATACATAGAGATACTAGATTCATGGATTAAAGTACTCAACGCTATTATAATGTAGACATTAAAGATGATATAAATATGTGAAGAGAGATATCATGTTCATGGATTGAAGTACTCAATGCTATTATGTCAAAACCCCCAAGTTTATCAAGAAAGTTGACAAAATCCCTATCACTGTCCCAGCCTGCTTTTGTTATTATTGTTGCCATTGTTGAAGTTGGGATGTTTATACTAAAAATAATATGAAAGTCCAAAAAATATAGATTATTCAAAGCAATATTGAAAAATAACCAAAGAAAACCATAACTGGCATTTTTATGATCCACAGTCATCATTTGATCAATTTTACAGATTTTCTTATTATTTAGACCAATTTTCCATTTTGT